GCAGGCTGGTGAGATGGAAGGTGATGCTGCACATACAGTTTTGTTCTCTAGATGACAAACCAGAAAAGAGTACAAAGAACAATCCAGAGGCTACCACAAATGTCTTGCAGTATCAGCTGCCTGAGGCTGCCCTTTGATAAGGCTGGCCTAAGTGGAGATTGCTTGTCAGCCACATTTTAGAGATTTGATGCAGGTCATAACATTCCATTCCTCCACACATGCTCTTTCTGCATAAAAGTGTATTGCTAGACATAATTTGTATAGATATTAAATATTTGTATAGATAATAAATTCAAAAGGTTGTGCTTTTTAAGTAAAAGACAAACCTTGAGGAGTGCTAAATTGAGAGCATTCACAACTATGGAGAGTAATGAGTTATAGCAAATCTTTAACAGTACAGCCCTATCCATACATATTCAGAATGAATATATATATATATATATATATATATATATATATATATATATATATAGGATTCCTATAGAATCATTGGGGAGAGTGATCTAACATATGAAGTGGACTAGTGTCCACAAAAGCTTATACTAGAAACATCTTTTTTGTGGTTCATTTCAAAAGCACTGCAGGATTCTTTTATCCTTTTCTGGTGAAATAGAGTAAAATGTCTATGTTTTTGAACATGAGTTAAGTGATGTTTACTCCAGGTTAAATAAAGGACTACAACATTCATATATTTGCTGAGAGTGTGATAATTTTTCTTTCGAGTCAGGAGCGACTTGAGAAACTGCAAGTCACTTCCAGTGTGAGAGAATTGGTCATCTGCAAGGATGTTGCCCAGAGGATGTCCAGATGTTTTACCATCATATGGGAGGCTTCTGCCACGTCCCCGCATGGAGAGCTCCTCAAATTCAAACTGCCAACCTTTCAGTCAGCAGACCTGCTGGCACAAGGGTTTAACGCATTGTGCCACCTGAGGATCCGTGCAATAAAATGGACTCTAATTATGTCTCTGTTTGTGTAATTTTTGACAGCTTCAATGTACAATGACCCTATGAATGAGAGATCTTCAAGGCATCTTATTGTTACAAGTTTAGCAAATTCAGAGTCATGACTTCTTTGACTAAATTTTATCTACCTCTTTTAGGCACTGAATATACTTTGCTTCTGGAACAAATGAAACAGTCACATGCCAGGCTGGCAACACCTGAGTATTTAACCAGGAAAGAGAAATCACCACACAGAATAGTAGCAGGGTGTACAATTAAATTGTTGTGACAAAGTATAAGACAATGCAATAGATAAATCAAACATATGGTGTCAGTGCATATAATTGTGCATGGATGCCTCATTGCTCTGTGAAGCAATTGGATATACAATATATGAGAAACATATTGGGTATCCATGCTATTCACCCCATACCCATTGTCCTGTGAACTAGAAATCCAGACTGGCCATTTTAACTAACTCAGAGCTATCTCACTGAGCAAGTGCACTCCCACTGGTGAGATTTTGTTTTACAACTTCATTCCATACAGTTTTCACCTTGGATCCAGTGAACAATCAGTGTGAGTGGAAAGACTAGCCACATCTGGACTACATGGCTTACAAATGCTACAAATGCAGCTGGTTCAATTTTATGAATTAAAGCCATCTGAACAGAAGAAGTTCATAACACTAAGGACTTCATCCCATGAAAGTAGGAAAGTGGGAGGGATCATAGTTTTACCGTGGTGCTTTAGGATGCCCCATTGTGAAATTAAATAAATGTTTATCCTACCCTCATCATACGTTTTCTGCCATCTCGCTTTCTTTAAAAAAACATATTTTCCATCTCACCTATTATATAAAAAATACAGAAGTTTTAATAGATTAAAGGAAACACTAATAAACTTTCAATATTAAAAAATAGCATTAAAATGTCAAAAATCTAACTACCACCACACAACAAAAATAAATTATTTTCACTTTTGGAACACAAGCTACAATTAGGATAACTTTCCTGTGAAAAAGGAAAATGTAAGAAAAGTGCATTAGCATGTTTGCAAAATAACTCAGTTGAGGAAATGGAAAGAACAAACAAATTACCAATCCTTCCTCTGTGATGCCCAATGGCGGAAGAAAGAGAGCATTGCCCGCCATCTCTGTTCCGCCCACATGACGTCATCATATTGATTACAAGTGGACAAGTGGGATTCCCATCCCACTTGATATTTGCCAATTTTGCCCATTTCTACGTGAAGAAAAAACATGAAGTTGACTTTCGAGTTCTGGATTGTTGATTTAAATAACACTTCAAAAAGTGGGACTGACTTGAAATCTACGGAACAACCATGCATTGTCTGATGGGCTCAGTGAGTGGCCATTTTTAAGTGTTCAGAAACATGGGGAAAAACTGCATGTGATGAAGTCATACAACAAATCTCTTCAGTGGGAGTGCACTTGCCGTTGCTTTGCACCTAAATTTACTTTGCCAGTGTTATGAAAGCCCTCCTAGAGTTATGGCCCCACTACTTGCCTAAACAGACTAGTTTAGCCAGATATAAGACTGCTTTCCTGTGCACAAAAGATAAACTGGCCTAAGTCCAACTACTTAGTCCCAATTAGAACCATTGGAATTTACATAAATGTTGATTTACCTTTTAGCAGCTGAATCTATGCTAATTTGGAATGAAATTTAGGACACTAAATCTTTTTAAATGCTCCAGGCCTATCTTCCTCATAAAGTCAAGGCAAAAAAGGTTTTCTTCCAAAATTGTGTATTTATTCAGTTATACAGCTAACCTCAAAAATGTGTCCACAATTTTTCAGGAACCATTCTGCCAAGTATGACAAGGATTACTTTTCCATTCCTTTCAAGGACATTTGTGCCCATAGAATAGAGTGGAATGGGAAAGGTGCAGCCCCAAACCCTTTTGTGTCCCCAATCCCATCAAGTCCCTACACCTAAAACAATCTGAAAAATATTTTAGATGAAAATTTGTTTTCCACATACCCAGTACATTCAAGGGAAAAAAGCTGACAAATGCCTGAAAATGATAGAGCAAACATTGAACCCAGCTACATTTGCCTATCCTTGTCCTAGAGACATCCTTTAAACTACGTTTTAAAAATGAACACACATTAGAATCTGTTTTAATATATTTTGCTATTTTAGCTTTATGCATGAGGATAAGACTGCCTAAAATGTTTAAATAAATATAAATTAGCTGACCTTTTTACTATACTTATTCTATACTAATTATAACTTAAATTATTTTCTTTTCTATTTCACAGGATAACACAGACTGTCAAGCTAACTAAGGGAGGGAAAATTCACCCAACCTGAAGCAATTTGACAGAAGAAAATAGGGGAAAGTGCTGCACGTAGTTTTCAAACATTTGTTAATTCTAGTACTGCAAAGTAAACCTATCAGACAGTAAGTAATTTGCTTCTACAAAGATAACTGTTTTGTACCACAAAGTATAGACTTAGCACCCCTTATCTGGAATTCCAAAATCAAAAATACTATGAAATCTAATTGTCCACGTGGGCAGCTGAGATAGTAACATCTTTGCTTTTTGATGGTTCCGTGCAAACAGAAACTTTGCTTCTTGCACAAAATGATTTAAAATGTTGTGCATAAAATTAACTTCAGCTTATATGACTAACATGTATAGGACATATAAGTGAAGGTTGTGTTTAGACTTGGGTTCCATCTCCAAGAAATCTTGTAGTGTATGTATGTATGCAAATATGGGGATTCCAAAATCTGAAGAAATAGGAAATCCAAAACACTTCTGGCCTGAAGCACTTCATATAAGGGATACTCAATTTGTATTTTATTCTCTTAAGCAAATGCCATTTTCTTCAGAAAGGATCAAATTTTACAAACTTAAACTGACATGGAGCTAAATGCATCAACTTTTGATATTGCAACTTGGTCCAATATCTATCTCTACATCCTTCTAAATACAGGTATTTAAAAATATTCCAAGGGTTTGTTCTGAATTATAGCACAGTCATGTGCCTATTTACTCAGTACAAAGTCTCTAAGTTCACAAAATTTTCTTTTAAGGAAGCATACATAGGGCAGCTACCTAAGTCCTACCTGCAAAGAATGTTTTAAAATTAAAACAATCCTATGTTTCAATGCTATGCGATTTAACTTTAATATAAGTGAATGTTGCCTTCTTTAATGGGATGTTGCACAATTAACTGCAGTCCCAATTTGACCCTGGAGACTGAATATTTCTTTGTCTTAAGAGGCACTTGAATTTTGACAGTCAAGCAAGGAATAGTCCTACTCATATTACAAAGATCATGTTTAATCTAAAAATGAGACCTCACAATCTCTGAGGATGCTTGTCATAGATGCAGGTGAAACGTCAGGAGAGAATGCTTCTGGAACATAGCCATACAGCCCAGAAAACTCACAACAAACTACTAAAAATGAGAGTTTGCAATTTTAGTAAAAAGAAGAAAGAAATGTTGGGTTGCCTCTTGCAATTAAAGCAAAAGATATAAAACAGTGGCCTGCTTACTTGTTAAAATTTCATTCAGAACATCTGCTAAAAATGAAAAATATTGTCTTCTGCTGAGTAGCACATGTGATGATGTACTTAAAGATGCCTATGGAGAGAGAGACAGAGACTTTAGGAGTTGCTCATTCCTTGAAAGGAAAAATTGTCTATTTGTTTTTGTTTCATTCATAATCAATTGAATGGGAAGCTCTGTGTACTTCCAACAGGAAACCCTACAATACACCACTTCAACTGGAAGTTTTGTAAATAGATATTCGGCCCACAATGTTGTCATTCCTGTAACTTGAGAAAGGAAGCAGTTATTTGCTGTTTGCATCCCCTGAGAGTGCTGTTGCAGAGTCCAAATTGTCACAATATGACACACAGATTCCACAAAACAACAGAATGACCAAACTCTACACAATTTTGGGAGTCATTCACTGCTATGAGAAGATGAGTAGCTAGAGATTACCTATAAAACTCCAAGGTGGGCAATTAAGCTAAGTACCACAACAATCCGAGAACGAAAGATGGTTACCTACTTTGACAGGAACAATGGAGTTGCAGCAGGTCTTCTCATTTTGAGACATAAAGCAATAGCATGAGATATGAAGATGTCTTTCCCATTGAGGGATTTCTGCTGTATGTATGCTTGGATTTGCAGCTATGATGAGATCCGCTTGCAGGCAGCAAGTAGGAGCTTGATATGACCGTCAAATGAAGCAACACAGTTACTGAAAAATAAAGTACTAGCACCACCGTATGCTAGAGGTTGGAAAAATCTATCATATACCCAAAGGCCCTGTGAATCCAATTTTTTCCATTTCTCTCTTCACACTAGAGGCAGCTTGAATTTTAACTTACCACTGCAGCTAGGAGATATATGAGGAAGAGCTGTTGACACTCTGATTAATTTGCCAGGAAAATATTAATCTGGTCCAGCTGAATTTCTCTTCCCATGCTATAAATTGTGAAACAGTTGAGCTTCTTAAAAAGAGCCTAATTGAGGAGCAGGAAGGAAATGCACCGTGCTAAATATACATTCAAATAGACATGCATGCCCTCCAAAATGCTAGTAAAAGTTAGTTTCAGTGACAGGCAAGAAAACCTTGTGGGGGGCACAGAATATGTTTTATTACTCTGTCGTTACACCCTCCACTCTCCTGCTGCTGAAGTAGTATGATACTTGCCTGAAGTGGCCCTGAAAAAGATTAGTTTCCTACTGTTTCCTAAGCCCTTCCCATCTGTCACATGATCTTCCCATTTCTCCCTGAAACTTGAGCCAGTCATTTTAATATTGCCTTGGACATAAACAGAGCTAGTGAGGCAGAAAATCAGCTAACGCGTTGTGTCTACGCAATTTAAAGGAGCAATGGATGCTTAAAAAGGGCTTTGAGCAAAATTGTTTGACTGACCTAGGAGTGAAAGGCTTGCCTTGTCCAAGTCTCTAATCTCTTCCACAGCCACACACTGGCCAGGTTGCAAGTGTTTCAATATGAAACTTCTGTGAGCTGTCTAAATGAAATGTTTTTTTAAACATTTTTTAAAAAATTAGATTGTCGGACAAGTCCCTTATCTACAGATTTGGCATCTATGGCTCCACTTATCACCTCATCACATTCAGGAAGAGAAGCATCTTCTCCCTGCTTCTCTCCTCTGCTGGCATGGAGTCCCCTGAAGTCCATCACATGCCACAGGGCTACTTCCAGCAGGACTCCATGGGACTCCGTGCTGGCAGCGTTACGGCATCAGAGCCCAGAGGAGGCAGGAGTACACTCAACTCCTCATAGAAGAAAGGCAAAAAAGCCAAACAGGAAGCAGGGGGTAGCAAGAAATCACTGTGGGAAGTGATGCCACATATGCCAGCAGTACAGAACACAGCACAACGGTTCCCTATGCTGCCCCATGATTTCCCCCACCATCTCCCATTTCACAAAGGGGCATCTGATGATGTACTTACTCATACTGCAAAAAAATATCACTCACACACACACACACAAGATGTTTGTGGGCCTCTCTGTCATCCTGTGCACTTGCACAGGATGACAGAGAGGCCCACAAACATCTTGTGGGTGTGGGTGTGGGTGTGTGTGTGTGTGTGAGTGATCCAAGGTCTCAGATATGCACAGGACAGGCCCGTAGCCAGGATTTTGTTTCGGGGGGGGGGGCTGAGTTTGGTTCAGGGGGGGGCTGAGTCTGAGTGAAAGAGGGTCTACCCTAGCAAACCTTTTGTATCGTTACCCCAATACCCCCATGCATATGGGATATATTGAGTATGGTGATCAGATCATGATATGAATAAACATAACAGTTTAAATAATGTACCAGTAAGGCCTTCTCATGGGCCCCCCAAGCCTCCCCCCCGGCTACATGCCTGGCACGGGCGGTCTGATAATGTATTTCTAGCAGATACAAGGGAGGTACTCACCACTAAGATAACTGCGAGATGCAGATATGCAGAGCTTTGGCAATGCAGATCACCGCAAAAGTTTTGTTCTATGTGCAGACCAGAGAAAATGTGCCCTACACATATTTCATGAAGTTTTTGGCACACAAACAAAGTTTTTTCCTTCTACTCAACTGTCACCTTCTTTTGAGGGATTGACCAATCAGGAACAAGCATTTAAAACCTGGGAACAAACTCAGATAAAAAAATCCTGTGATTTCCGATTGCAGGGACATATGGGCATGCAAAGATCTGCATATTCGGCTCAAAACTGCGATATTCCCATGCCTGGAAATCTTGCATTTTTTGCCCTTTGTGGCGATTGCTTCCGGGTTTACAGGGAATGGTGTCTAACCACCCTCCTGTTTGCTGCAGAAGCTCCTGGGATAAAGGAACTGCCTGAGGAGGTACAGTCAATAAAAGGTTATTACAAAAGTTGGAAAAGTTGCTTTCTGGACTATAATTCCCAGACCCCTCCATCCAATGATATCTATCGTTCTCCGTGCCTTTGAGGAGGTGAATCTCCTCTAGGAATTAATCCAGGCTTTAGAAGAACTATTCTCAAAATTGATTCTGCACAGACACACACCCACAAACATAGCCTTTATTGGCATAACAATATAATCACAACACAGGTATATACAACAAGAGGAAGTCACAAGTACAAAAGAAAACATACTTAAAAGTTACTAATCTCAAGGATAAAATTTACACTAGTCTCACAAAAGAATGCATCAAAATTGTTCAGATGATATGGAATTTTATGACACCCTTGCTACTGAGAATACTGTGAAAAAATGTATTTCATAGAATCATAGAGTTGGAAGAGAACTCATGGGCCATCCAGTCCAATGCCCTGCCAAGAAGCAGGAAAATCGCATTCAAGGCACCCCGACAGATGGCCATCCAGCCTCTGTTTAAAAGCCTTCAATGTAGGCACCTCCACCATACCATTATCATATTTGGGTGCTTCTGCACATTGGATGCTTCCCCTACAATTCAGCCACAGTACATGACCGAAAGTTTGGGATGTCCACTGGGCACGTCAGCTAGAGGATTTTTGGGGTTCGAATCCCCCAAAATAACATACTGGATATGTGCTTAACTGGAAGCATGCCTATCAATATTATTTTTAAACAGAAAAAAATGTGATTAGAAGTGTAGATTTAGTTCACACATTAAAGTTAACTCTCTATGAATCCATTACTGATAATGAGTGACAGGTGAAAGTAAAAAAGAAACTTCGAGTAGAATTAGAAAGATAAGGCATATTCCTTTAATATTTGCTTGCTTATTTACTGCATTTACCCAGTAATCTTGCTAGGCATTTTCTAGGCCCTCAGAAGTCATTCATTCAATAGGATTTACTATTACACAATTTCACTTAACCATACTTGTGTCAGCAGGATTGCTGACTGACAGGTCAGCAGTTTGAATCTGAGGAGCATGAGTTGAGCTCCCTCTGTCAGCTCAAGCTCCCCATGCGGGGACATGAGACAAGCCTTTCACAAGGATGGTAAAACATCAAACATCCAAGCATCCCCAGGCCAACTTCCTTGCAGACTGCCAATTCTCTCACACCAGAAGTGACTTGCAGTTTCTCAAGTTGCTCCTGACATGAAAAAAAAACTTAACCATGTGATGTTCCAAAACTTATCCCAAGAATACAAGAGGCATAAGGTATGTGGATGGTTAAATAATAAATCAACAACAACCTGCAATGTCCATTTACTATTCCATATTTCTATTATGTTAGCTGTCATGGTTTCATTTGGAAATATTTATATTGAAGGGTGACATACTGTATGCCTCCAATGCCAATTTGCCTCCCTCATACAATACATTCCATATACTGGCTCTCTAATGGTATGGTAAATATAAATATTTCCATATTGCTCTAATGCACAACTGATAAGTAGAGTGTCGTATTGTGAATGCCAAAAATCATGTCAAATGATTTGTAATATAAATCCTATAATAAGTCAATTTCTTTCAAATAGAGGATTACAGTGCAATCAAAATCAGTTTAGTATGCCCATGTAATTTATATTGTCATTCACAAGAAAATTTCCACAAGACCACACATCAGCATAATTTACAGGTAGCACCATGCTTTTCTTTTGTTCTTACACAAACATATATTCATGCAGGTTATTTTAAAAAGAAAACAGATTCCAAATTGATCTTCAAATTACCCAAGATGTCGCTGAGCTGAACTAGATTGGTCAACTATTTGTAGACTTAAGAAATATGTCTTATGATACAACCACAGCTCTGAAAATTAAATTCATCTTCAGCTAGACTCCAGCCTGTGTTGGTGCCCACAGAATTTTCTCTGTTCCACTTTGTACATTTGTTATATCCATGTCACTGATCACCTGCTTGGTTTTAATTTGTGATTCAGATTTTGTCTAGTAATCATGATTGAGGGTTCTCCACATGCTTCAGGTTAGGTCACCAGTCTGTTCCAAAAAATTCCAAAAACAAAGCTTGATTTTGCCACTTTATATAAGGAACACTATTTTATTACACTATTGCATATAATGGCAGTTGAGCATTCATGGATTTTGGTGTCCATGGGATGTGGAGCGGGGCAGTCCTATACCCAAACCCCAGCAGATAACAAGAGCTCTCTGTATATGAGCAATATCTGTTCACATTTCAAAAGCTAAAAACAGGATTGGCAATGGGCAGAATGCTTTGACTATGTATGTGTCTAACTGAAACAACAGACAAATTATTCATTATATATGTTCAAATAGTACAATTCAGCTTTAGTATTTCAGAATATTGATTGGATTCATATCAAACTTTGCTCTCTTTCCTCTTTTAAAATTGCAGAAAATACACAACCCTATCTATTTTGAATTAGCCTTTCAGTACATTCTGGGAGGTTGATGCTAAGTGGAACACTTTACATCTCTATCCCTCCCTCTGGTTGAAAGTTGAAACCAGCTTGCTCTAGGCTTAGCTGTGTCCTGTCCCTGACATTTCTTATGTTTATTCCAGTTTTTGTAGTTTCACAGGCTTGATAAGTCCTTCCCACTATCTTTCTGACATAGAAATACTGGCTCTCGTTATATTCATAGTATGCTTAGCCCATTTTCATAATCTTTGACTAGATCTTTATTGTAAAGACTGTACTTTGTTTTATTTTCGTTATCCTGTTGTACTCACAAATATTTCATCTTACTCCCTCATATTTATTTACCCTGTTCTGAATATCTCTATTTCATCATTATTCCCTGTCTAGAATTCAAGGTAATATATTCCAGCTGTAGTCTAAACACAAATATGTAAAGGTACTATTAAGCTGTGAAGGATCTGGATAACCAGCCCAGAACTTAACTGGGCAGCTTGTTCCCAGATTATTTTCACTCCCATGCCTCCCTAGTCTATCTATCAAGTTAGCTGCACCTTTGCATGACCATGTATGACCAGACCACATATGTTTTGTGAGAGAATGCTGCTAGCTGCTATATTTATTTATCTATTTACTGTACTTATACCTCGCCCTTCTCACCCCTGAAAGGGGACTCAGGGCAGCTTACAAACTATGGCAATAATTCCATGCCAGATTCAGACAATAAAAATATCAGTTAAACACAATATTATAAAACTGTAAAAAAAACATATACATATCAATTAAAATAGTCTTTCCAACTATTAAAACATATATGGATGAAGAGACAAGCAACAAAATGTGACATTTAAAAATGAGATGTTACTAAGAACTCAAAA